TTATATATTACCTGTTTTTATCCTTTACTCATTTTGGTTTTTCTTTTTTGGCAGCTGGCCAGATTGGTGTTATAACACTGCACTCTACCTTTACTCATTTTTCTGTTGCCTTTTTCTTACTGCTGTGTATATGCTTTACAAACATTTTCTCTTGGTATACTTGTCTTTTTATCTGGGGATTCTCTTATCAATGAGAAGAGGCTTCTAATAGAATGCCCCATCATTTTATTTCTCCCAAATTTTAGAAATATATTCACAAAGCAAATGCATGCTGGTATTTCTTCCACTTCTTTGGTTATTTATTAAGGAAGGTGTTCATTGTGCCTGAGTTTAAGAGATGAAGAATTATCATCCTATGTGAAAATACTCAACTTTTATAAAGAGAAGGGAAAATATTTTTTTTTTGTTTGTTTGTTTGTTTTTTTGTCTTTTTTCGTGACCGGCAACGGATTGCAACCCTCAGTGTCGCGCCCGTACCGGACCGGGACCGGCAACGGGATCGCAACCCTCGGTGCTGCGCCCACCTCACTCAGCCAGTGAGTGGCCGGTCTGTATGTGGGATCTGAACCCTCGGCGGGAGCGCCGCCATGCTCCCAAGCGGCGCACTGTAGCAGTGCGCCACCGGGCCGGCCCCTAAAATTTTTATTTTTAAAATCAGATTTATTGAAGTATAAATTCCATGCAATAAAATCCATCATTTTAAGTTTACAGTTCCATAAGTTTTGATAAACATGTATAGTTGTGTAACCACCACCACAATCCAGCTATGAAACATTTATCCTAAAAAGTTCTGTGGTGCCCCTGTGGTGCACTCAGTCTCCCCACCTCCTTCTCCCTCAGCTCCTGGCAGCCAGTGATCTGTCTTCTATCCCTATAGTTTTGCTTTTTCAGAATGTTATATAAGTATAATCTTGTAGGTAGTCTTCCTGTCTGGCTTCTTTCACTTAGAGTAATGCCTTTGAGATCCACTCATGTACCAGCAGTTTGTTCCTTTTTATTGCTGTGGCACATTTGTTGATGAACATTTGGGTTTTTTCAGGCTTTTGAATAAAGCTCCTATAAACATTCAAGTACAAGTCTTTGTGTGGGCATATGTTCTCATTTCTCTTTGGTAATCTAGGAGTGGGATTGCTGGATCATAAATTAAGTGGATGTTTGACTTTATAAGATCTGTTTTCTGTTGTTATTATTTATCTTGTTGACATTTTAAATTTGTATGTTGTTAAATTTTCTAGATTTTTTAATGCTTCTAGATTTTGTGCATTGATTCTGTGGCATTCCTTATTACAAGATTATGGTTATACTTTCTTTTGATACAGCTACATTTTTAGTAATTATCGGTGAGTCCAGTATTCTTCGGTATACTGTGTATATGAAAGAAGAAGAATTGATTTGTATATTTTAATTTCTTTTGTTACTTTTGTTCTATTGGTTACTTCAGTATTAATAATTTTATAGTGCCCTAATCTTTTTTCCCCTTACTTAACCTTTTATTGTCTAGTCTGTCAGTTTGAATGGTATTGTTTGATTCCTTCCTATTACCTATATAGTTGTCAATGATCTTATGTTACTTTAGCTTTCCCCTCTCCCATTTTTTTAGTTTTAGTTTTTCTGATAGTCAGATCATATAATGTTTACATTCTTCTATGCCCCCATCCTTGATTTGTTCTTCATAATTAAATAAATAAAATTTTATCCTCCATCCTTTTTCTGAAGTTTCCCAAGTCACCTCTTGATTGGATAAAGCTTATCCTGTAGAACAGGGTCAGTAAACTACAGCCTATGAGTCAAATCTGGCTCACTACCTATTTTTGTATGGCCTGCAAACTCAGAATGGCTTTTACATTTTTAGGTATTTAGAAAAAATAAGAAGAAGAATATTTCATGATACATGAAAATTATATGAAATTAAAATTTCAGTGCCTATAAATAAAGTTTTATTGGGATGTAACCATGCCCATTTGTTTATGTATTATTTATAGCTGCACCTACATTACACCAGTAGAATTGAGTAATTCAAGAGAAGCTATATGGCCTGCAAAACCTAAACTACTTATTATCTGGTTGTTTATACAGAAAGTTTGCTGATCCTTGCTCAGGTAGATGCCTCAGAAGAGCATATGTGTACAGTATTCTCTAAGTTCTGACATGTTCAAAATTGAATTTGTATAGCTTGGCTGGAATTAATATCCTTAGTTTACGTTTTCTTTCGTTAGTAATGCTGCTCTGCTGTTGTCTTGTTTTATATGTTATTGAGAAGTCTGATGGCAGTTTAATTTTTTTTACCATTTCTTTTTAATCTTTTTACCTGAAGGCCCTCAGGACTTTTATCTTTAAAATCTAATAGTTTTACTACAATATATTTTGGAGTTGATCACACTGGGTGCATTTTTGATCAGTCACTTGTGGGCCCTTTCAATGTACAGATTCAGTTTTCTTTTATTTCCTGAAAGTTTCTTAGTTCATAGTTTTGAATATTAGCTCTGTTCCAGTGTTTTGATTTTCTTCTTCAGTGACTCCAGTTGTATTTATGTTGGCTCTCTATGCCTATCCTCCATTTTAATCACTTTTTCTCAGACCCTACTTCTTTACTTCGTCTAATTTTCATTCTCTTGGTTATTTTCCTGCTTCCCTTCAATGCTATTTATTAACTTTCCATTTGAGTCTAATCTTACACACCTTATAATTTAGAATTCATTTCTGGTATGATTTTCTCATTTTCTTTTCTTTTTTTCTTGAGTTCAGTGAAGCCTCATTTTATTTATTCCTGTTTTTGTCCATTTCTGTTCTAGTTTTTATGTTTCTGATTAAAGTTGTTTTAGTCTGATTAAGGGTTTCATATACTCAAATGCTTGTTTGAGGCTATGTAATTCAGTTTGGAATATTGTTACACTTTTCTTCAGCATGGTAATTGGTTTGGGCTCTTATTTACGCTTTTTACTTTTAAAAAAAAATCTGTGTAGATATGGTCTGCTCTTTTCTATTTTTTAATTCATGGACAGGAGTCACAAGTGCTCTCTTCTGTCAATTCTTCCCTTTTCTGTGTAATTTCTTTAATAGATGGTGGTGGTGGTGATGTGAGGGTTCGGCATTCTTTGTTTCTCTCTCATTTCTGTAGGATCCTCAATTTTACCTTTGTGTTTCCCTCTTTCCTTCACTGCCACATCTTTAGGGGTTACTACCTTTTTTGCATGTATTTGATTTTTCTCCTAAAGCAATGCTTCTCTGAGGTTGCCATCTCTGGTCCTGCTCACTTTCCCTGTGAACCACCAAGTCCCAACCTGTGTTCAGTTATTGCTCTTAGCATTGAGCTTTCTCTGTTGGGGGGTGGTTTTCTCTGTGTTTCATTTAAATTCTCTGTACTTCTCTGCTCTTTTTCATGGAGTGTCTTAAGCTCCCCTCTCTTGCTGTCTGTACCTACAGGCTTGAAGTGATAGATAATGGGAACTCTGTTGGAATAAGTCATATGAAGGCTGTGGTATTTATTTTTTGTCTCCTAATAGTGCTGAAAGTGTGGATCACATGTGGTTTTAGTGCATTCCCTATTCATTGTATGTTTGGGAGGAGGAAGTTTGGAGGAAGATTCAAAATCAAGTTATTGACATCATCATCTACCTGACTTTAAGTATATTTTAGATATTTTTTTTTAGATAATTTTTTTTTTTTTTAGGAACACTGCAAGGAAAGAGGTTGTGAATAAGTTTTAGTAGCTGTGGGATATCAAAGTAAATGGAATGTTTTATACATTTACGTGCTATATGGTATCATTATAATGATTTTTAAATGTTTAATTAAAAAATCTCATCACTCGGGGCCGGCCCGGTGGCGCACTGGATAGTGCGCCGCTTGGGAAGCGCGGCGGCGCTCCCGCCGAGGGTTCGGATCCCACATACAGACCGGTTCCCGCTCACTGGCTGAGCGAGGCGCGGGGGCAACACCGAGGGTTGTGATCCCATTGCCGGTCCTGGTCCGGTACGGGGGCGACACTGAGGGTTGCAATCCGTTGCCGGACATGGAAAAAGACAAAAAAAAAAAAAAAAAAAAAAAAAAAAAAAAAATTT